TTACAAATGGATTGTCTGCAGGAGGCTGAAAAGCACTGAAATAGCACCTTGTGATGAGGGCTGTGCTATGTTTGCAACAGGCATTTGGGTGTGAGGGTGCGCACAGACACCCTTGTGTACAATGGCCGGTTCATTTATACAGTTTGGATTTCCACTGAAAAATCTATTTTACTGAGTTTAGTCTGGAGATTTGATGAGATTAGACAATTTCTTTTAACTACACATTTTAAATCTTTATTGCTAAGTTTAGTGCAGGTGGGGGATACCCCGGTCCCTGTGCTGTAGATGCTAGAGAGGGTCAAACCTGTGCAATTTTATCACACCAGCGAAGCCTCAGCTGTGTACGCCTGGCTGATAACTCTGTGTTTTGCTGCGAGAACCTGAGAACAAAAACATTCAGTTAAATCTCATTTGGGGTAAGACTGAGAGGCCCTTAAACAGGTGACCAAACCTTGCACCAGTCTAACACTCAGAGGACATTTCAGCAAAAAAGGCATAGGAACAGCTTGTAGTTTTCTTCCATCTTGGGTGTTTTCTGTATGTAAGTTAGAAAACTGCCATAAAACCTCACTGTCTGAATTTGGCAGCCACTTTGATTCTATCGCTGACATAAAATGACTCATGGCTACTTTTTAGGGGAGTTAGAAGACTACAGAAGATTATTTTTTCTCCCAATGAAAACCAGCTTGAATAGAACATAAGTTCTATAATTCATTGGGTTTTTTTCTGCTAAGAGTAAATGTCCAGTGAAATTATACAGATGTGATTTTACCACAGCTTGAAGATAAGGCCTAAAACCATTAAATCAAGCTGTTACCATTTTATTTCTATTTATTCATTACTACTAAAAACCTATGAAAAGAAATATGAAAAAAAGAAAGACAATTTAAGCATTACAGATTTCTGTATTTTGTTCTTGCAGAATAAGCTTAGTATAGCATGTGGAGGGAAAGAAGCAATTTATGTTAGAAAGTTATCTTGTTCTTCCTTTCTATTACATTTTTTCACTGCAAAACCATTTTTTTTCTCAACTCATTCTTGCAGTGTGCTGCCAAGACAATCTGGCCAGAAAGGAGGAATAAAAAACAGAGATTGTTCTCTGAAAGAATGTGGAAGTTAATACAGTCTCAGTCAGACCACTATTCCCTGAACACCAGAGCTCCTTTTGACCTGTGGGAAAATAAATGCTGTAGAGAGCTCTGACTTAATGAAGAAAGCAAAATAAAGCTTTTTCCATTTATCATTAGTCCCCAGCACTGTGGACAAATGTCCCCGTGCAAGCCCAGCGTTCAGAGATGTCACCTTTCTCCTGGCATCGGTGGTCCCGCGCATCAGCAACACGCGCTGCTCTAAAACCAGGGGGTGCGTTTTACTGCCCAGGAGGCTGCAGAGCAGCAGAGGAGAGCACTGAGCAAGCTACAAGGTTCCCTTCTTCCCTCTGAGCAGCATGCAGGCTCCTTCCATCCTTTCATGGGTGCATACGTTACTGAATCACTGTATACTGACAGTCATCTCTTGTTATTTTCCAGCATAGGAATGTCTTCATGATGCACAGGAACTGGGAAGACTGGGCTAAACATCAGCAAATTTACTCCCATGTTTTCAAAATAGAAATCTAGTCCCAATCTACATCAAATTGTTAATGCTAATTGTGAGGTAGAAAATGTGGTTTTCTTAATAGTGTTTGATAGGTGAACAGGTAAGACAGAGAATATACAGGGGTTTTAATTCTAATATGGAATGTATTTCAAATCAAGTGAATGAGTACAAATAAGATCGTTTCTTTTCATAAGCAGTCATTGTACTGTACCTCCCAGTGTTACTGCTGTGAGACTGTAATTAATGTTGATAAATGCTCATGTTCTCTCTGTGCAGCATGGGCCCACAGACAATTGGTTGTATCAGAGCATGTCGAATCCTACATGAAAATATAGCTATAGATCATTGGTTTTAGGGATAGACTTGAGACAAGTCAATTTATTTCTATTAGTAGCTGAATCTATACTTAAAACTCTGGGGGTCCAAGTGTTTCGTCCATTATGTTCTCAAGTCTTTCTGGTGTGCTTTGCTGTAACTTAAGCTATTTCTGCTACTCTGGTCTCCAGCTTCTGAACGCAGCAACAGTTTTCCACAATGACTTGGCGGATACGGGACATATTTTTAGTGAAATGTCTTTTTCAAGCTCCTGAAGGTAGATTTTCTGCCCTTTAAGATGGTGCAGTACCTTCTCATGATCACTTTGCTAGAAATCTTATAGAGGCATGAAACTTCCAGCTTTCAAAATACATGGGTAGGAGTTGCAGGTATGACAAAATTCAGAGCTTATCCAATGATATTTTTTCTGGTTTTGCTTTATGAGTGACACCATTCCTCATATCCATTTAATTCGGCTTTTCTTGCTTCTATCAAGTTTGGATCAGTTTTACCACTATAACAGAGATTATGTTTGCATGGATAAGTATGTGGTTTTCTTTATATTCTTTACGTATCTCAATGTGGATCACAGTGGAACTAATTTTTTCTTCTACTTTTTTTCTTCTCACATGAAACAGTATATGATTGACATGTTCTATTAAACTATATCTAGATATTCATTAATTCAATTTTAATGGGAGTAGAGTTTCATTATGTATCTGAGTTTACTTTAACAATGCTTTAAATTAAAAATTCTGTTGGTACTGTATCTGCCTTCTCAGCTAAAGAGGACAAAAAATTCCTGGGTTTAAAAACCTTGACTTTGCAGATAAAGGCAGTGCCAAGGACTGCAATTTCCAATTTGATTATGTGAGATCTGCTTTGGGGCTAGAACAAGGAAAGAACTGTAAGAACTTTCTGTTGTAGACCCGTGAGTCCAAACCCAAAAGGGCTGCTCATGCCATGAGGATTTAGGAGGAGAAGGCAGTCCTGGGCTCAGGCAGATGCAGAATCTCATTCAGATTCTGGGCCTTCCTACCTGACTTTATCTTACCAGATCTCTCTTCCTTCTGTCCTTCCTTCTTTCGTTCCTCATGTTTCGTGGCACTTCAATCCCTAGTTCCTATTACAGAAGTGGAATAGTGTTGCCAGTGCCACAGACAAAGTAGAAAGGACTAAAACTGCTTCTGCTAACAAGAGTTGATCAGGGTTTAACCAGACAAAAGGAACATAAGCATCACTAGATCTAGTATAACCCAACCAGCCCAATAGCAGCATTTTCCCAACAATTATTTTAATTCAGCTGCTGCAAAGTGAAGAGTTAGAATTAAGTGTTCATGAAATCAGACTGCCAGTATTTCTTCTTTTCTTGTAACTCAAAAGGGTCTTTTTTAGTTTAAAAGGCTAGGTAGGTAATTCGGGGGGGGAAACCTTTTAGCATTTGCCTTTACTGTGTTTTCTCATAGATTGTATACAGTGTGTGGAAAAGAATCAATTCTAATGTCTAATGAGCCTCACTGATAAGGAAAAAAGAAAGGGCAACTTTATTTGAGAAACAAAATGGCAGAATGTTTCTAGCTTGAATATTCCCTTTTAATTCTGCTTCTTTGCTTTCCAAAAACTGCATTTATAAAACAAAAACAAAATACAGAATTAATCTTGAACTAGTGAGGCTTTGGAAGCCATTTCTGATTGTGTACTTGTGTATCTACAGTGTCTCCAAAGCACAAATACGCACTTATGGCAGTGAAGACCAGCAATATCTTAAGCGACTGAAATACTTTCTGAAAAAACTAAATCTTGATCACTGTTGTAAGCGATGTCCGAGGTCATCTGGGGGTTAAAAAAAACACACAATAACAAAGGTAGTGTCAAAGTAAGGGATTTATCATGGTTATTAATAGAGTTTATTAATAACTGCATTAAAGACAAGACCATATTTTAGAGACTGCCTTCAAATGTGACCAGTCAATCATACAACTGAGAAACTTAGCCAGCCTTCCTTTTACTGTCTTCTACCTGTATGCAAATTCTGTGCAATTTATTATGCTCTGGGTTTCACTTCAAAACAAATGCTTTAGTGACCTTTAAAATCATCTTCGTTATTCTGTATAATCAGTAGGCAGTAAATCCTGTGCTTGGAAGTATGCACATGTATGATGATGGGTTGGAAAACATACTTAGGAAACACATTTCAGTTTCAAACATCCAAATCATTGTTGTAATAAACTGATTGAAATTGGTTTTGGAGTCCTAACAGGTGATTTGAGAGTGACATACATGATTCTGATCTGAATAAAACTGTTAAACATTTTCTACATTTGAAGTAAGACTTGGGGTTTGGTTTTGGAGAATACTGAGGATCTTCATTCTCATTTGCTCCAAGAAGCATTTATTTTTCAGAGCTAAGAAGGAATGGATCTTCAGAGCTCTCTGCTCTGAAAAAAAGTGGCCTTGAAAACCACTGCCTTTATTCTGTGCTTCTCCCTTTTTTATCATGTATTGGGAACATACCTGTAGTTAGTTCTTCCTGACTGGGAGAAGTTAACCTAGAGAAGCCAGTCTTCTATCTTGTGTTTTCCATTTCCTCTGTCCGGAATGTGTTGGCAGCATTTCCTTTTCTTAGGTTTTGTTAGGCAGTGTATTTTGTACTTTATTTTCTTCTTAATAAATGTGTGGGCAGTTGAAGTCCTTTTTTTTCTTTTCTGCTTTGTCCTAATCGAACACTGACCAAAAGGAACTGACAGTCACATCCTTTCTGAATATGAGCTTTGTTACTAGACTGCTCACATGTATTACAGGTGCAATCTCAACTGGTACTCAGTGGCACCTCATCAGTCATGCTGGTGTTTTATCTGGTCAAGTTACATCTAAGTACTGAAAGGATTAAGCAGATATCCTAACACTGTGGTTTAGTGACAGTCCTTAAGCTCTGATAGGAAAAAGACTGGGAATTTTCATCTCCTTATTTCTTCATACAATATCCTTTTTAGTTGAATTTAACACATTATCATAGCTGGGATGGAATCAGGATAGAAGGTATTCTTTCTTAACTACAACACTATGTACCATTTTATGTTTTTCAGGCATTTCTTGTTCAAGACATCTTCTGGAACTACTCCACTGTTCAGTAGTTCTTCCCCTGGTTACCCGTTGACCTCAGGAACAGTTTATACTCCACCTCCCAGACTGTTACCTAGAAATACATTCTCCAGGAACGCGTTCAAGCTGAAGAAACCCTCCAAGTATTGTAGCTGGAAATGTGCCGCTTTATCTGCAATTGCTGCTGCAGTCCTGCTTGCCATCCTGCTGGCATATTTCATAGGTAAGGCTGTGTTTTCCCTATCAAATCACACAGCTATGTGAGCAAGTGAAAATTCAGCAGGTATTAGGATGGTCAGTGTGTCACCCAGATTTGTGTTTGTAATGAGCAAAGAAAATTATTATTCCTTATACTGACGACTGAGGTAAAATAAAACATTCACCTCTTGTTCTCTGTCATAAGAGCAAAGGAAGAAAGAAATCGATTCAGGATTCTCAGTGCAGTGTTAACTTCAGGTGTTGTATACACATCTCTCATGGATGGCCCAACCAGTGGGTGATACAATGATTTTTTGTTGTACTACCATATGTTAAAAAAAATATTTGGAAAAAATTGTGATTTTTGTGCTGGTGGGTGACTCCCTGTAAGTAACAGAAGCTCCTGGCATTTAATAAGTCTCACTCTGTATCTTCGTGAATAAATTCCGGTGGTGTCAGATCTAAATAGGTAGTTCAGTTCTATGCACTGTTATTTTTGGTATTCCACACTTCTTTAGTATTTTGTCAGCAAAAATATAGAAAGGAAACTCTAAATGTTGTGCTTATTTCCCAGGATCAGTGTATGAACACTGACCGCACCGTGTCTTCATTTTTTCTGTGGTCTTTTGAGATTTTTTTTTAATGTGTTTCTGTTATTTTGTGTTTCTTAATGCAATTATTTTTTGGCACCCACTCCCCCAGGCACCCCTCTCCTTGTCTGTTGTTCTGGAGGTTTATCTAAGTGTCTACTAGCTGTGTATTTTATACCTTTCACAGTACCTTTGACAAAACGTTGCTGACAATGAGATGCTGCACAAACTCTCTAGCTTCAATGAGTATTTTGGAGCTACAGTAGCTTGATACTTTCCAGACCTATTCTGTGAGGGGTTTAGCTCGTCTCTGAATCTAATTTCTTATTTAGTGCTCAAAAGACCTATAAAGATGTACTGAATTTACTCCCTATTCTCACTCAACAGCATAGACACTGTTTTCTAAGGAAAACCTCTTTTTCATACTAATGAGCTTCCATATGTAATTAATATATACAGCAGTAAGAGAGAGCTGACTGGCTGTTTTATTGCTGTTGCCTCTTTAGGCCAGGCCTATATCCCGCTATACTCGATACTACAGAGCTAACAGACGAATAGCAGGCTTAGTTTGATATATAAATAAAAAGATTGGAAAGCACATGATTTATTGACCATGACACTTATCATACAACAGCTTTCTGTTTGAGTGATTATGCACATGGGGAATGATATACCGCAAGTTGAGTTTTTTAATCATGTGCATAACTTTGAAGTGATGGATTATGAAACATATTTTTCCTTGGTATTTAGGTTACTGTAATCTAAAGCAAAGCTTTGCAACATGTCTACTGTTTTATACACTTTCATATACTAAGACAAGAGGGAATGTAAGATAATGCATTGACTCTTAATAATTGATGAATGATCTATCGTTTCAAGTAATGACATAAGTGATCCATTTTGACAGAAGTTTTTGAAGTTGTCTTCGCTGACTAAAGAATGATGAGTGCAATAGAGTTGGTTAGTAAACACAAGAAAGCAGGTTTTAGAACAAGAGTGTTGGCTCAAGGATTAAATAATGAGAAGTTACCTGACAAGCTTCGTTCCATACACAGTAAAGAATGAGTATACATCAAAGCCAGAAAATAGCTGCAATTAATCCTGTGAATAATTCTGTTATGCTACTTAGGCTTGTCAATATATCTAGTCTGTGTGAAGATGATCACATCAATGCTAATCAAGACTATTGCAGGACTAAATGAAAAAAGCAGTGCTGGCAAATACGAGGTAAATTACATTGAAAGAATACTTAGAAGTTCTCTTAGACTTCAGGATTTTTAAATGTATTTTCTTATAATAAAAGAGATGGGGGAATTGATACAGATAGGTCACTGAAAATATAGTCCACATTTAAATGTGGGACTTTCAGAGAACATGCCGAAGATTATGGGTGGCATGAAAAAAATATCAAATAAAGAGACAAGCAAAAAAGTATCATAACAGAGAAAAAAGAATACATATTTTTTAAATTGTTCAGGCATTCCTATTGCCTTTCTGATAACATGCAAATAAAAACAGTGAAATGAAAAGACAGTATGGTTAAAGCATTAAAATAATTTCATAGTAATAAGTGCATAATAACCTTTGGAATCTTTTGCCACAGTACATTAGTGATGTTAAATAAAGATACTACTGAGATCTTAAGAAGTGAAACATTTGTCAAAATAATGACAATATGTCTTTTTAAAACACAACATTGGGGTTTCTTTTTTAAGATACATATGGATTGGTGGTTCCTACTATTGAAGTTTGTGTTTTTAAATAGACTGTTCCTTTATGGGCCAGTCAGTATCTAAATTCTCCTAAATCTTCCTCTGAGGATCATTTCCACTAAAAAGAGCATTTTAAGATGTTTCTATGTCTGACTGTTACACTGGTTTTAATAGCAGAGTACAGGAAAAAAATCATCTCAGTTAACTTTTTCCTTACACAGTATACAAAATGTTGTCTGATGAGTTAAAGCCAGATTTATAACTTCTCCCTGTTTCTTCAGCAGGCAGATGTAACTGAAATGCAGAGTATAAGTTGGTAGCGTTGTACATTTTGGTAAACTCCAACATGCAGTGTGTAAATAAAATTGTCCTACAATCCCATTTGAGGCATACGTCATTTCACAAAGGCCAGGAGTTATTTCTATTATCCAGGGGTGACATATGAAGAATGTAGAACCAGCCATTCAAATTAGGACATTCTGAAGATATTGGGCTGGTGGTAAAACCCAGTTACAAGAAAGTAATTTATAAAGTGTCGAAAGGAAAGCATATAGCACACATATTGTCTTTGTCAGAGCGTTCACTTCGGAGGTTAGGGGAGTGATGAAAGCATTTGTCATGTTAAATTAGTTTTTCGTTCTTTAGATTCATGCCAAAGTTGGAGGGGAAAAAATATGAAAAATAAAAGAAGGAAGGAGAGGAAAAAGCAAAGTCACCTTGTGCTTTTCACAGAGTAATTGCTTCCAAGCGTGAATATCACATTTCTGTAAGCCCTTGTGCTGCTCTCTCTGATTTCTGCCAATCTAACTTTGAGCATCAAAGCACATCAGACCAGCAACATGTCAGTATATTAAAAACGTGGTAATTTGAAGTATTTAGACTTGCTTTGAGAAAAACAAACAAACCAACCCCACCAAACTGTTATGTCCTGTGGAAACTAAAAGCTGTAAGGTTTAAAGATGCCCCACTTGAAGATAGTATCTGGAGACTCAGACTGATAACTTTTAGGGTATTGATGGATTTTATCTACTCCTACTATGTTGTCGTGGTTTAAACCCAGTCAGGTAATTCGTTTGCTCACTTCCCCCCCTTTCTTGCCCTCCCCCTGCTCTCGGAGGGACGGAGAGGAGAATCAAAAGAATGCAACTCCCACGGGTTGAGATAAGAACAGTTTAGTAACTAAGGTATAACACAAATCACTACTGCTGCCACCAATGATAATAATGATAAAGGAAATAACAAGGGAAGAGAATACAACACCTCAGCACCAGCTGACCGATAACTCGCCCCCCAAGCCCGACCAAGCTCCGACCGATACCTCCTCCAACCCTGCAGTCTCCCAGCCCTTCCGGCTAACTCCCAGTTACATCCTGGGCATGATGTGCTGTGGTATGGAATACCTCTTTGGTCAGTTTGGGTCAGGTGTCCTGTCTCTGCTTCCTCCCGGCTTCCCCTCCTCCCTGGCAGAGCATGAGGCTCACAAAGTCCTTGGCCAAACCAAAACATCTCTATCAGCTCTGTTCCCGAGCCGAAAGTCAAAACACTGCACTGCACCAGCTACCAAGGAGGAGAAACATGACTGCTACTGCTGAACCCAGGACATATGTGCAAGAAGATATAGGGAAAATAAAAGGAAAATTACAGAAATTACAACAATCACATGCTTCTACATGTGATGCACTACATCTTCAGTGCACATGTATCATAAACTTAAAATAATATATTCACTTCTGTGCTATAGAGAGGGCTGAATTGCCAAAGGGTCTGGCAGTTAATTAAGCAAATGAAAATATCCTTTTCTTCTTATTATTCCCTGTATATATTTAAAATTAAAGCCTGAAAAATAGCTGCATACAGAACACGAGACGTATAGGCAAATAACTGTTAGTTCATTTGGCTATCCCGCTTGTAGCCACAAAAGTTTTCATTCATTTCTGTGACAGAAAACAAAATTGATGGGGTTTCTGAAAGAAATAGACTTGGAAATAAATCATGTCTTCACCCTGCATCAAAGATATGTAGGTGCCACAATTTGCATAAAATTGTGTCCTTCTGGTGTTGAGATCAACTTGAATTATTTTCTTCCAGAAATGAGTCAGATATTTGCTAATGTAGGTGCTTGTGTTAAGTTTCTTGTTCATTCATATTTGTAATTTAGTCCAGTCATAAGTCCAGTTGTCTTTTTGACCCTCATTCCACAGATCAGGATTAATCAAAACACTGTGCTCAAGTGGCTAGCTGGTGTACCAATTGATTTTTGTTTCTCTTTCTCCAGTTTTTTTTTGACGAATGGCAACTTAAAATTTCATCTGATTTCTTATCTTGCATTTTTTGTTTTTACTTGTAGAGACAGAAAACCGCTGACTTTGTTTTGTCCAGACTTCACTGAAATCAAAATGCTAGACATTTTGGAAACTGAGATTGGAAAAAGGGAAAATCATGCAAAGATGGAACCTCTGAGAGACAGAGGTCATCTGGCTGCCAATCACTGCTATCAGATTCACTTGAAATCAATGTAAACTGAGGGAGCTCTGCATCTTGCAGGATTAGCTGATGACAGAAGGGTCTGTTCTTAAATTTGCATTAAAAATAGGTGTCAGTGAAGGAGCAATAATTAAATTTTAGAATATGCCTGTCATATTCTAAATGTCACATGTACAGTGATTCTTATTGACTGGTATCAGTCAATCTGGGACAGAAAAGAGTAGCAGTAGCTCAGTAAG